TGGTCCACAGAGGCCGAAAGAGCATTTCGCACGCTAAAGAGCAAGTTCACTAACGCTCCAGTACTTCATCGTCCCAACCCAGAACGGCAATTCGTACCAGAGGTTGATGCGTCAGATACCGGAGTAGGAGCTGTGTTATCCCAGGTGGCTGAAGAGGATAATAGACTCCATCCCTGTGCATTCTTTTCCCGTTGCCTGTCCCCAGCAGAAAGCAGGTATGATGTGGGAGATTGTGAGCTTCTGGCAGTTAAACTGGCAATCGAAGAGTGGAGGCACTGGTTGGAGGGGGCTGAGAAACCTTTTATTATCTGGACCGATCATAAGAATCTTGTTTACCTAAAGGACGCAAAACAACTTAACCCACGCTAATTCCGATGGTCACAGTTTTTCTCCAGGTTTAACTTTCAAATCTCTTACCGTCCAGGTCCAAAAAACGTCAAACCCAATGCTCTCTCCAGGCAGTATGTTCCCGACACTGACTCCGAACCAGCTACCATCCTTCCTCCCAACTGCATCATTGGTGGAATCTCGTGGGAGACTAGGGATCAAGTTTTGGAGGCCTTGAAGTCCGATCCTGGACCCAGTAATGGACCCCTAACAGACTGTTTGTTCCTCAAAACATGAGAGGTAAAGTTACCACTGGGCCCACACAGGCAAGTTCTCTTTACACCCCGGAGTGGGGAGGACTGTGGCACTGCTCCGACGGACATTCTGGTGGCCATCCCTTTATAGAGACACAAAGGACTACATATCTGGATGACATGTGTGTTCTCAAAAGTAAGGAGACCATCGTCCACCTGCTGGGATGTTACAACCGCTTCCAGTTCCTTCTCGTCCTTGGTCCCACATAGCTTTAGACTTTGTTTGTGGTCTTCCTAACTCACACGGTTTTAACACCATTCTTACCATTGTCGATCGCTTTTCCAAGGCCTGTCACCTGGTTCCCCTGAAATCTCTTCCTTCCTCCACAGTTACAGCGCAGCTCCTGGTGAAGCATGTTTTTCGTCTACATGGTATCCCCGAAGAAATTCTCTCAGATCGCGGCCCGCAGTTCATTTCCAGATTATGGAGAGAGTTCGCCGATTCCCTTGGAGCCCAGGTAGTACTCACGTCTGGATATCATCCACAGTCTAACGGGCAGTGTGAACGCATGGACCAAGAGCTGGGTTCAATGCTGCATTGTGTCTGTTCTTCACACCCTTCCACCTGGAGTTCTCACCTACCCTGGGTAGAATACGCCCACAATAGCCACATCTCATCAGCTACCGGTCAGTCTCCATTTGAAGCCTCCCTCGGCCATCAACCTTCACTTTTTCCCCAACAGTCCCCAGTCTCATCCTCCATTCCCCAGTTCCTCCGTAGTGCTGGACGGGCTTGGACCTCCACCAAAGCTGCCCTCGACCGCACGGCCCGGCGCAATAAGCAAATTGCTGATCGCCGCCACTGTCCCGCGCCCGTCTACACCCCAGGTCAGTCCGTCTGGCTATCCTCAAAAGACATTCCACTGAAAGCATCTTCTCGCAAGTTGTCCCCACGTTTTATTGGTCCCTTTAAGATCACCGACGTTCCCTCTCCAACCACTGTTCGCTTAGACCTCCCTTCCTCCCATCGTGTACACCCAGTATTTCATGTATCTCTTGTTAAGCCTGTTGTCTCCAGTTCTCTTTGTCCCACTCCCCCTCCTCCAGCTCTCTCTACAAGGGTGGCCTGGTTTACTCAGTAAATAGGACTTTGGACTCCTGTCGTCGGGGCCGTGGTATCCAGTTCCTCGTGGATTGGGAGGGTTATGGTCCTGAGGAGCGCTCGTGGATCCCTGGTTCCTACATCGAGGATCCTTCCCTGATCAGGGAGTTCGAGGCTGCCTCTGCTAGGACGCCAGGGGGCGTCCGTTGATGGGGGGGAGGGGGGGGGGGGGGTACTGTCATGAGCCGAGGTGAGTACTCTTCACTTCATACACAACCTCTGAGCTCTGATTGCAGGAGAGGGAGCAACAGCTGTTCCTCATCAGCGGGCCGGCTTTATAAGGAGGAGGGTGACCATGCTACGACGCCGGAGGATTTCTACTAACTGGTAGTCACTTGCCCTTCGAGTTTCACTAAGACTTTGATTCGATGTTTGTGTGCTTGGATTTTTGATGACTCGCTCATGTGAATTTTTGGTACTTACCTCAGGTTTCTGCATCCTTGGGATACCCGCATCCTCTGGAAGAAGTTCTCCGGTTCGTTTCCTGCTTCACCTCTCTTCCAGCCGACCCGCTTTCCACCGCGCTCACGCTCCCTCTCCGAATCAGCCTCCTCAACCAAATCATCCATACATTCATCCTCTTGGACTGCAACCGCACTCTGGATATCACCCTGGCTCACTCCCCCTCCATTTTCCTGCTTCACTTCCGCATAGTAAGTCCTGACTACAAACTATTTTCCAAGAAGTACAGCTCCCATACTCACCTCTGTTTTCCCTGTAGACGCCGCTTCCTGACTCTCTACCGCTGGACATCAGTGCACCCTTAGTTTCTCCTGTTAATAATAAAACATTTTATTTTTTTTACCTTCATACTTGCCTTGGTCTCTGATTCTGCATGTCTTGGGTTAAGCACATACCTCAGATCATGACATTCCCACTCTGGTGGTGGTTGTAGCCACAGCTGCCCTGGGGCACCACCAGTCCCTCCGACCACCACCAGCAGACAAAGTGAGTGAATTAATGAAATAACACCATTTTTAAAAATTATCCCTAAGCAATTGATGACCTTATTCTTATAACTAATGATTAATTATAATAATTAGATAGTGATTCATTGTAGTTGGCAAAGATTCTGCACAAAATTCCCAGTAGGTTTGTGAAAGAAACACCTACTGGGTTTATCAGTAGTTAGTTAACGATTTTAGTCTGTCACATTTTTTTAAATGCGTCATCCTGTGGGCTTAGAGTAATATTTATTTAATTTTTTACTGCATCTGTTCTTTATTTAGTGGTCAATAGTGACAAGCAGTTCATGTGTTACAACACTGAGCCATCATGCCTACTTCCCCTTGCAGTGTGGCTTGTGTCACTGAATCCGGTTTAATGAGCCTCCTTATTTACATACTTTGCACAAACACAGGAACTGCGAACACCGTGCATCTGGGTCATCGTGCTCGTGCACCACAGGAGCAGATGCTCCGTGTGTTTATGCCCCGAGGTTCTACCTGTCACACATGATGATTTATCCTTCTCTGATGACATGGTAGCCTCGTATAGACGGGGAAATATTTAGATTAGATTCAGGATTGAGATTTTCCTGGTTGCAACTGTCTTTTTACGTAGAGTAAAACTTTACCATCTGGAAAGGTTATAAAAAGTTTCTCATAATATTTTCTGACAAAACCATTCAGGATTTGTCATGGAAGTATATAATGGTATAGATCGTGCAGAAATTTCACTTCTCATAGCAGGGAGGAAATATTAGAAGGGCTTTCTTCCTAACATTACACCTCAGTGCCTCATTGGCAGTACAAAATAACAATCTGTCTCATGTTACAGGAGTAACTAATACCATTTATAACACTGTCTAGGTTTCAGCCCTGCTGCTGCAGAGTCTTGTTCATAGTAATGGCTAATTACCCTCACATAAATGGGAAATAGCTGCTGCAAATGTTACCTGCGTCTGGCGATGTTTTATGAAGGCAAGTTAAACCAGTTATTATTAAACAATCCTATTATTCATGTTTTTTACTGAACTCTTAAGTTTTAACATAATTTTCTAAAACATGTGGCATTAAATGCGAAAAATATAAATATGATTTATTTCAGTTAAAATTAAGAATTTTCTTCCAAAATAAAATAAAAGAAATAAAAGTGAGCTGAGTTTATCTGATTATTCTTTTTCAAATTAATTTTTTATGAAATAGCTTTAGAGTGTAAGTTATTATTGAAATAACAAACAATGAATCATCTGTTAATAAATTATTAGGCATCTCTAAAGAAGAATATTTTTTTTCTTACCACAGGCTTTATTTTCACACTAATTGATTTGTTTGCATCACTTCCTGCTGGCATGCGGTAGGGTTAGATAATATGATAGCTTATTAAACTGCGTTATTTTTAAATAGATGCGACAAAAAATTGAAATAAACATTATCTGTGTGATAAAGTGCAAATAAAGCATGTAAATTTTCAAAAGAAGAGAATGAGTAAAGAGGGTTGTGGTTAAAAGTCAAAGGAGAAAAACGTTCAACCTTAGGAAAACCATAAAAATTGTTGATCAAGTTCATTTTATGATTTTGGACCAGAAAAGATGTGTTGATTAAACAAAAGGAATTACAATTTTTTGTATGCATCTTATACTTTAAATAGTCTGATCCTCCTTGTGGTTTGAGAATCAGCCATGTTGGAGCTTCCAAGTCCACCATTGGTATCTAAAGCCGCATTTTTGTTCAGTGTTGTTTTGTAAGAATGTTTGCCAGCGTGAAAGTGCTTAAAAACTCTTTTCAGTTCCCTGAAACATCTGAATGAATAAAAAAAGGAAGAGGGCAAACCCTGTCACATTAAATCACGAGGCAGGCAACATTGAGCCCCCCCCCCCCCCCCCCCCCCCCATCAAGAAATATTTAGGTTGCATTTTTGTAATTATCCATTCGGGATAAACATTTAATAATTAGATAATCTACATGTGAACTCAAATGTACCCAGTTAAAGAAACCGAATTCAGTTTTGAACTCTTTAATCAATAAATTGACTAAAATACACTGTCGACTCTAATTTCTTCTCATTAAAATGAATTGAATGCACTTTAATATTGTGAAGTTAATTGGTGACGTACAGATGACTTTTTAAATATTAACTGTGGACCCACCAATGATTCAACATTTGAACAAAAGCAAAAAATATTTTAAATGTATTTATTATAATTAGCTTTATATTAGCAACACATTTAAAAACTGGGCGTTTGAACATTATTTGATTCTGTGTAAATAATGCTTAATTTTACTACATTTTATCACCAGATTCAGAAAACTCACGTAGTCAGATTCATCCTCTTGTGGACTAAAGGTGTAAAATCTCCTCAAACTGCTCCTGGCCTTAAAGCATGCAGATGGAGTACCAGGATTAGTACCTTGATCAGAAACCATCCAGTCATATGTCTACTGCCCCTTGGTGGGAGATCTACAGATGTTGAAGTTCAATTTATTTCTTTGTTGCTGTGATTTTCTTATATAATTATTAGCATAAAAACAGATTACATGTCGTTGTTGTAATGTCATTAGCCAATAGTGTTCAGTTAGAAAAAAACACTTTTTTAATAAATATATTTTTAAAGTCCAGGCTTTAAAGCATTTAAAGCGAATATAAATGCTGAAAATATTTTTAAATGGTTAGAAATAAAACTTGAAGCATGGATCCACTGCTTTCTACTTCTGAGCTGGAATCCCATTTATTGTTTTGATATCAGCTGAATACATTTGGAGCCATTCTGGACCTGTGAGTCATTTGCCTTGGATGTAAACAGTAGGAAAAGTTCTTGTACCTGTTTTTTGTAGCTGTTTTCCTGGCATGAATGGAGCAAAAACAGGCAAATCTGCAATGTAAACAGACACAATTTTTCAGTCACTCTCAGCATTTGGTTTTTAACACTTGAGGTTATTGAAGCATGAAAACCAGCTGGATTAATAAGGCTATGCACGTTAAAACAAACGTGAAGAAGTACTCACCTAGTAGCCAGACTTCTCTGCTCCTGTTGAGATCCACGCAGCTCCTTTAAACCTGTTTGTTGGTAAAACGCTAAGTAAGAAGTGACTCAACACTGGTTGAGTTAGCTCACTCTGTGGCAGTTTCTCTCCTTCCTCTTCGTCTCCCTCCCTTCCCCTCCGGATTGTGTGTGTGTGTATGTGTGTGTGTGTGTGTTGCCCAGGAATGTGGAATGTTTCTGTCAGGGATCCCAGATTTTTCTGAAAGTCAGCTTGGCCTTCATAAAAACAACTGCTTATATATTTTTAAGTCTTAAATGTCAGAGGTGGTATTACAGCGATCATTATCATTGTATCAATAATTAACCAAGCCATCAGGAAAAAGTTCCACTAAAGAGCTTTTTACTGGAAGCCTGAGGGCATGCAAATATAAAATACCAACTAGATGTGCTGGAAGGTTGGACAAAGAGTAGTGAGAAAAAAACAATCTCAGACAGGGCTGTGCAGGTGTGTATGTGTGTGTGTGCGTGCGTGTGTGTGTGTGCGTTTGAGTGTGTGAGGCAGACTACCCAAATAATGGATTGGCTAAAAGTGACTGGCTTACTCGAGGCACGAGTATTTTCAAAAGGAAGTGTAGGAAGGAACATTCAGACACAAAACAAGTTTTCTCAACTTTAGAAGAAAGATATAACACATTCAGCCATTTTAAATTTGTTTGTAAGTCTAAACATGTAGAAAACAATGTTCAGATACAGAGATGTTTTTTCCTGAGTCATAAAGACAATGAGAAAACTGTCAGCGCGCTGCTGAGAGGAACGGAGCTGAGATGAGGATCCAACGCGGAGCAGGAAAACAGGCAGACAGGTGAGCACATTCAAAGGGTTTTAATACTGAAGCACGCTGGACAATGAAACAATGATCCGACACAGTACAAAGAATAGACAGGGTTTAAATACAGGAGGGTTGGGAGCTAAGGTGATTGGGAAACGAGAGGCAGGTGGGAGTAATCAACGAGACACAAGGCTGAACTAAACGGGGAGACATGACCGGGTGTGACAGTTGTGACAGTACCCCCCCCCCCCCCTCAAGGGGCGGATCCCAGACGCCCACAGGAACGAGGAGCAGGGTGGGAGGAGGGGAACCAGGAGGAAGGGCCCAGAGGAACAGAGGGACCAGCAGAGGGGCAGAGGAGGAGGCGACGACAGGCTCTTGGAGGCCGGCGTCTGAGGCAGAGGAGGAGACGACGAGCTCTGGGGGCCGGCGTCTGAGGCAGAGGAGGAGACGACGAGCTCTGGGGGCCGGCGTCTGAGGCAGAGGAGGAGACGACGAGCACTGGAAGGCCGGCGTCTGAGGCAGAGGAGGAGACGATGGGCCCTTGGAGGCCGGCGCCTGCGGCAGATGAGGAGGCGACGGGCCCTTGGAGGCCGGCGCCTGTGGCAGATGAGGAGGCGACGGGCCCTTGGAGGCCGGCGCCTGCGGCAGATGAGGAGGCGATGGGCCCTTCGAGGCCAGCGCCTGCGGCAGATGAGGAGGCGACGGGCCCTTCGAGGCCGGCGCCTGCGGCAGAAGAGGAGCTCTGCAGGTTGGGCCGGCGACAAAGTCACTGCAGGCTGGGCCGGCGACAAAGTCACTGCAGGCTGGGCCGGCGACAAAGTCACTGCAGGCTGGGCCGGCGACAAAGTCACTGCAGGCTGGGCCGGCGTTGCCTTCAAAACCACCATCGGAACCGGAGACCGTGGAGACGCCGGGCTGGATGGAGCGTCGGCCTCTTGAGTGCAAAGAGCATCCCCAGACGAGGCAGCGGCGATGTCATCGGACGAGCCGACTTCAGAGGACGAGGCAGCGGCGATGTCATCAGACGAGCCGACTTCAGAGGACGAGGCAGCGGCGATGTCATCAGACGAGCCGACTTCAGAGGACGAGGCAGCGGCGATGTCATCAGACGAGCCGACTTCGGGGACGTCATCAGAGGAGGCGGCGATGTCGTCAGACGAGCCGACTTCGGGGACGTCAACAGAGGAGGCGGCGACGTCGTCAGACGAGCCGACTTCGGGGACGTCATCAGAGGAGGCGGCGACGTCATCAGAGGAGGCGGCGACGTCATCAGACGGGACGTCATCAGACGTGGCGGCGACGTCATCAGACGGGACATCATCAGAGGAGGAGGCGACGTCATCAGACGGGACGTCATCAGAGGAGGAGGCGACGTCATCAGACGGGACGTCATCAGAGGAGGAGGCGACGTCATCAGACGGGACGTCATCAGAGGAGGAGGCGACGTCATCAGAGGAGGAGGCGACGACTTCGGACACGTCGTCATCAGAGGAGGAGGCGACGACTTCGGACACGTCGTCATCAGGGGCGACGACTTCGGACACGTCGTCATCAGGGGCGACGACTTCGGACACGTCGTCATCAGGGGCGACGACTTCGGACACGTCGTCATCAGGGGCGACGACTTCTGGACAGGCGACGTCATCAGAGGCGTCGACTTCTGGACAGGCGACGTCATCAGAGGCGTAGACTTCTGGACAGGCGACGTCATCAGAGGCGTCGACTTCAGAACACGAGGAAGAGGCGTCGACTTCAGAACACGAGGAAGAGGAGTCGACTTCAGAACACGAGGAAGAGGCGTCGGCCATAGGACTGGCGTCGGCCACAGGACTGGCAGGGGCGTCGGCCACAGGAATGGCAGGGGCGTCGGCCACAGAGCCCTGGACCGTCGACCTCTGGACCGTCGACTTCTGGACCGTCGACTTCTGGACCGTCGACTTCTGGTCCGGGGGCGTCGACTTCTGGTCCGGGGGCGTCGACTGCTGGACCGCCGACTGCTGGACTGCCGACTGCTGGACCGCCGACTGCTGGTGCCGACCCGTCCGCTTCGGGGCCAGAACTGGAACCGTCTGCTTCTGGGCCCATCCCTTCTGCTTCTGAGCCCGTCCCTTCTGCTTCTGGGCCCTCTGGAGTGGAGGCGAGGCAGCTGCAGGAGGGGCTGCCTGGACAGGCTGGACTGGAAGTGGTGGAACTGGTAGGGCTGGAAGCCGTGAGAGCAGGGGGGACAGCCCGTCCAGCTGAAGCTCCTGGAGGTTGAGGGTTCGATGGAGCTGGGCCAGTTCAGCCCGGAGACCAGCGAGCTCCGCTGGGTGGACGGGCTCACTCCTCTCCTGGCGGTTCGGGGAGGATAGAGTGTCCAGGTGACTCTCCTGGAGGCTGACGAGCTGGCGGATCTGGTCAAGCTCCGCCTGGAGCTCCATCAGCTGGGCTGTGGGCGTGGTTCCTCCGCCTGCAGATGACGAAGGCGCTAGTTGGACCGGAGACGGGACTGCTGGTCTGACTGGGGGCGTGTCCAAGTTGGCGCACTGAGCCAGAACTGCAGCGAGCTCGTGGCTCCTTCCAGGGACCAGCCGCTGCGGTGGAGCCCGGGATGCCTCCCCACGCCGTGGGCCAACTCCCGGGGAGCACACAGCCAGGCGGGTGCCCACGAAGCTGGAGCGATCCGGAAGCTGCTCCCGGTCCGACCCCTCGTCCGGTTCCGGGAGAGCAGCGAGGATTGCTGCGGCTGATGGCCGAGGACGGCGTTTTCGGCGAGGCAGAACTGAAGCAGGGGAAGGCGATGGAGAAGCTGGGTGGTGGCTCGGAGTGAGCCACTGAAGCAGGTGCTCCCACGGGAGAATCTCCTCGCTGGATCTCACAACGGGTTTGGGTCGGATCATTCTGTCAGCGCGCTGCTGAGAGGAACGGAGCTGAGATGAGGATCCAACGCGGAGCAGGAAAACAGGCAGACAGGTGAGCACATTCAAAGGGTTTTAATACTGAAGCACGCTGGACAATGAAACAATGATCCGACACAGTACAAAGAACAGACAGGGTTTAAATACAGGAGGGTTGGGAGCTAAGGTGATTGGGAAACGAGAGGCAGGTGGGAGTAATCAACGAGACACAAGGCTGAACTAAACGGGGAGACATGACCGGGTGTGACAGTTGTGACAAAAACACACTGTAGAAGCTACAGTACAATATTTCAATTAATACATATATTTAAAATATCTCTACTAAAGCAGCATTTTCCCACTGCTGAATAATAAAGTGATTTTTAAGTCTATTGTAAAACAATATATTAAATTTAACTATATGGATTCCTAGTTTTATATACACTGAACAAAATATAAACGCAACACCTTTGCTTCTGCTTCGATTTTTCATGGGATGGACTTAAAGATCTAAAATTCATTCCAGATACACAATATTACCATTTCTCTCAAACATTGTTCACAAATCAGTCTAAATGTGTGATAGTGAGCACCTGTGCTTTGCTGAGATAATCCATCCCACCTCACAGGTGTGCCACATCAAGATGCTGATCTGACATCATGAGTAGTGCACAGGTGTACCTTATACTTCCCACAATAAAAGGCCACCCTGGAATGTGCAGTTTCTTGCTTTACTGGGGGCCTGGGAACTCAGAACTGGTCAGTATCTGTTGTGACCACCATTTGCCTCATGCAGTGCAACACATCTTCTTCGCATAGCTTATCAGATTGTCAATTGTGGCCTGTGGAATGTTGGTCCACTCCTCTTCAATGGCTGTGCGAAGTTGTTGGATATTAGTGGGAACTGGCACACGCTGTCGTATACGCCGGTCAAGCACATCCCAAACATACTCAATGGGTGACATGTCCGGTGAGTATGCTGGCCATGCAAGAACTGGGACATTTTCAGCTTTCAAGAATTGCGTACAGATCCTTGCAACATGGGGCCGTGCATTATCTTGCTGAAACATGAGGTGATGTTCTTGGATGTAAGGCACAACAATGGGCCTCGGGATCTCATCACGGTATCTCTGTGCATTCAAAATGCCATCAATAAAATGCACCTGTGTTCTTCGTCCATAACAGATGCCTGCCCATACCATAACCCCAACACCACAATGGGCCACTCGATCCACAACATTGACATTAGCAAAGCGCTCACCCACACGACGCCACACACGCTGTCTGCCATCTGCCCTGAACAATGTAAACCGAGATTCATCCGTGAATAGAACACCTCTACAATGTGCCAGACGCCATCGAATGTGAGCATTTGCCCACTCAAGTCTGTTATGGCGACGAGCTGGAGTCAGGTCAAGACCCCGATGAGGATGACGAGCATGCATTTGAGCTTCCCTGAGACGGTTTCTGACAGTTTGTGCAGAAATTGTTTGATTATGCAAACCATTTCTTTCAGCAGCTGTCTGAGTGGCTGGTCTCAGACGATCTTGGAGGTGAACCTGCTGGATGTGGAGGTCCTGGGCTGGTGTGGGTACACGTCGTCTGCGGTTGTGAGGTATGGAA